ATATCTTCTTGCAGAACCTTTTGTATGCTCTGGAAACTTTTTCTTAATTTATAGACTCGAAAATGGCGGACGCCACAGGATCCGGTACGTCAATCTTCAAATTTCATCTCTCTTTAATATTTGTCGGAATATTAAGGTTTCATATGTTACATTTCGTTCGGAATCTGCTGATGAATATTGATCGTGGAATTGATTTTGAGAAGCCTTATCGTGATTTTTGTGCAGAGATGAAATTAGGTTCGTTTATGTCTGAAAAATCCGCAAAGATCTTTGTCGCTGGACACAGGGGATTGGTCGGATCCGCCATAGTCCGCAAGCTCCAAGATCAGGGTTTCACCAATCTCGTCCTTAGAACCCATTCCGAGCTTGATCTCACTAGCCAATCCGATGTTGAATCCTTCTTTGCTACAGAGAAACCGGTTTACGTCATCCTCGCTGCAGCTAAAGTCGGTGGGATTCATGCTAACAACACCTACCCAGCTGATTTCATTGGTGTCAATCTCCAAATCCAGACCAATGTGATCCACTCTGCTTATACACACGGCGTGAAGAAGCTTCTCTTCCTTGGTTCTTCTTGCATTTACCCCAAATTCGCACCTCAGCCAATACCCGAATCCGCTCTTCTCACTGGCCCGCTTGAACCGACTAACGAATGGTACGCGATCGCCAAGATTGCAGGGATTAAAATGTGTCAAGCTTACCGGATTCAGCATCAATGGGATGCGATCTCCGGTATGCCCACGAATCTCTACGGTCCGAATGACAATTTCCACCCGGAGAATTCTCATGTGCTTCCTGCTCTCATGAGGAGGTTCCATGAAGCTAAAGCCAACAATGCAAAAGAAGTTGTTGTTTGGGGAAGCGGAAGCCCATTGAGGGAGTTCTTGCACGTCGATGATTTGGCTGATGCTTGCGTTTTCTTGATGGATCGATACAGCGGATTCGAGCATGTTAATGTAGGAAGTGGTGTAGAAGTAACGATCAAAGAATTGGCTGAGCTAGTGAAGGAAGTTGTTGGGTTTAATGGAAAGCTAGTTTGGGATTGCACTAAACCAGACGGGACACCGAGGAAACTGATGGATAGCTCGAAGCTCGCGTCTTTGGGATGGACACCGAAGATATCTGTGAAAGATGGTCTTCGCCAAACTTATGAATGGTATTTGGAGAATGTTGTGCAGAAGAAGCAGTAAAAAAGGCGTTTATTAAACGCAAATGTTTTATGTGTTGGCGTTTTGGTTCTATACCGATCTCTATCTCTTATGTAACTTTGAATTCATAGATTTCATATACCGAGCAAGTTAAGCAAATAAATGTACCAATGTGGAGATTATCAATAATGCAATAGCTTCTTATCCACTAACAAGAAGCCAGCTCATTGATAAACACAAACGTCTCAAACGCACCGCTATAAAACGATTTCGATTTTGACAATTTGGTTAGCTGAGAAACGATAATTACTCAAAAAGAGCCCAATAAATATGAAGGCCCAGTTTTATTTGGGTCTATGATTGTGCATTTTTAATGGAGCCTCGTCCCAGGATCTAACGGTAGAGATCGAAAGTTGTTTGTGGAGCTTATGATATTAACCGTTGGATTAGGAAGCGAGCATGGCCCCGAATAGCATATAGTTAAAAGTTGCAAAACCCTCCTGCGCCGTCCGCGTCTCTCTTCTTCTCTCTCTTGATTTTCTCTTATCTCCTCCTTACACTCTTCGAAGCATATAGAACCCTAATAATCAAAATCTGAAGGTAAATCCACCTCTCTAATGTCCATTTTTCTTTTCTGCGACTTATCGTTTCTAGGGTTTCTCTGATTTTCCGGTTCTTGGAAGTGGGTCAAGATCAATTTTTCAGATTGTCTTTTTTTTTTTCGATTCGTTTCGCTTCTTTATGGATTTGAGATTTTTTTGTCGGTGTTTGGAATTTAAAAGATTGATGCTTACTGGGTTTCAACTTCTGTGTACGTTTGATTGAAAAGTGAGTAATAGCGAATCGATTGTTAGGTTAAAAACTCACAGTACCATTTGTTGGCGCGTTTACCTTCGTTCTGATACGTGTCCGACTTATAGTGTCATGTGTTGCTACAAAAGATCCATTACTTTGTTCTCTTTGATTTCTTGTATAAAAGGAAGGTTTTTTTTTTTAACGTATTGGCAAAGAGTTCCATTGAATCTGAAGGATGCGTATTGCGGTTTGATGGATATGGATTTGTATGTTTTGTATATAGATGAATCGGGAGAAGTTGATGAAGATGGCTAACACTGTCCGCACTGGCGGAAAGGGAACCGTAAGAAGGTAAAGATGCATACTTTCCATTTGCATTGTTCAATCATTTAGTAATCACTTTGATTTTCTGTTATAAAAACGTTTTGATTAAAACTGCAGAAAGAAGAAGGCTGTGCACAAGACCAATACAACTGATGACAAGAGGCTCCAAAGCACCCTGAAGAGGATTGGAGTTAATTCAATTCCAGCAATTGAAGAAGTTAACATCTTTAAGGATGATGTTGTTATTCAGTTCATCAACCCTAAGGGTAAGTCTGATTTAGCCATTTTCTTATATGCTATTAGAATTTGGAGAGCCTTTTGCCATGTTACTGATCAATGTTACTCCTTTAAACAGTTCAAGCTTCAATTGCTGCGAACACATGGGTAGTTAGCGGTTCTCCTCAGACCAAAAGTATGCTTTAAGATAATCCCTTCATCTCTATTTTCTTGTTTCTGCTTAATGTCATCTTCTCTGATTAATATAAAACTTGTTGCTTTCCTGTAGAATTGCAAGATATCCTTCCTCAGATTCTCAGCCAACTCGGTATGTAACCATTAAACTCTGTACCTCTTTACACGTTCTTCCCCAAATCAAAGGTCCTTAAAAATATATATGTTGCTTTGATCTCTTGCAGGACCAGACAACATGGACAACCTGAAGAAGCTAGCAGAGCAGTTCCAGAGACAAGCTCCTCCTGGTGAAGGTAATGCCTCTGCAACTATTCAAGAGGAGGATGACGACGATGATGTCCCCGATCTTGTAGTTGGAGAGACATTCGAAGCTGCTGCTGAAGAGAAAGTAGCTGCTTCTTCTTAGAGAGACAAGAGCGAGAGACACCACAACGACCACAAAAAAACCGCACTTGGATTTTTACATATCTTTATAAAAAATGTTTGTTCACTCGATCCTTTTTTGTAGTGTTTCCGACAAGATTTTTGTTTTCATCTCTAATGACTTAAGGTTTTTATCCGATTGATTGGTGTCTTAAAATCCCTTTTGATTATTTCTCAGTGAATCAGGTTCCCTCGCCTTCTTCTTCTTCTAAATTATGTGGATTGGATTAGATGATGTGACTCATTTGTCTCATTTCAGAGCTTATTTGGCACTTTTCCTCACAAAACCCAATCCACCTGTACTGTTTGAGTTTCTTCTCAAACTTTCCAGACATTTCTTTGTTCTCCCTTCATATTCTTCCTCAGAGAGATGTCTCTTCTTCGTCACAACTCAAAAGTTTCTGAATTTTTGTAAACCATGGCTTCCCTCTTCGTATCTACTCCCTCTTCATCTTCCTTAACTCTCAAATCCTGTCACAATTCGCCTCTTCGTCACTGTTACAGCCCCATATCTCTGAAACTTTCGAAAACTTGTCTGAATCAGACAACGAGACGCAGAAACCCTTTGAGATGTTCAACGGAAGATGATCGAGTTCGTGAATCTGCCAACGACGGTTCGTCTCCGGTGGCTATAGCGGAGGAGCAACAAAAGGAGGACCACGCGAACAACAATGCGCCGCCTTCTCCAGAAACCAGTGAAGAAGAGGAGGAGGAGAAGAAGTCGAAGCAGCAAGAGATGGATTGGAAAACGGACGAGGAGTTCAAGAAGTTTATGGGGAATCCATCAATAGAAGCTGCGATAAAGCTTGAGAAGACGAGAACTGATCGTAAGCTGAAAGAGCTGAACAGAGAGAGCAACAATGAGAATCCGATCATCGGAATAATCAACAGCTTGGCTCGTGATAGTTTGACTAGAGAGAAAGAAAGGCTTGAGAAAGTAGAAGAAACTTTCAAGGCTCTTGATCTCAACAAGGTAAATTTATCATCTCTTACATAATGATTCTTCAGTGTTTTGGTTGGATTTTGAAAGTGTCCTGTGATGTATATACAGTTAAAGAGCTGTTTTGGTTTCGATACGTTTTTCGCTACGGACGTTCGTCGATTTGGAGATGGAGGTATCTTCATTGGAAATCTGAGAAAACCCATTGATGAGGTCACTCCTAAACTTGAAGCAAAGCTATCTGAAGCAGCGGGACGCGATGTTGTTGTGTGGTTTATGGAAGAAAAGTCTAATGAGATCACAAAACAGGTCGAAGAAGGTTTTCAAAATTCTTTAATTTTGATGTTCTTGATCTCAAGATTTAAGGCTAAAATTGTGGATTGTTTTGTTCTGTGTGTTTGTAAAGGTGTGTATGGTGCAGCCAAAAGCGGAAATCGATCTTCAGTTTGAATCAACTAGATTAAGCACACCTTGGGGATATATTACTGCAATCAGTTTATGTGTTACAACATTTGGAACCATAGCTCTTATGAGTGGTTTCTTCCTTAAACCTGATGCCACCATTGATGACTACATTGCTAATGTAGTTCCTCTTTTCGGTGGGTTCCTTTCCATTTTAGGCGTCTCAGAGGTAAACCCTGAAGCTAATCAAGAGAGCTAAGCTCATATTTGCTGTGATGTTTAAGTGTGAACTAAACCCTTGATTGTTTGTTTCAGATAGCAACCAGAGTAACCGCTGCGCGACACGGGGTCAAACTAAGCCCATCGTTTCTGGTGCCATCGAATTGGACTGGTTGCTTAGGAGTAATGAACAATTACGAGTCATTGCTTCCTAATAAAAAGGCGTTATTCGATATCCCGGTAGCAAGAACTGCTAGTGCGTACCTGACTTCGCTTCTGCTTGCAGCTGCTGCGTTTATATCTGATGGTAGTTTCAATGGAGGAGACAATGCTTTGTAAGGATTCATAAAAATGATGTTCTCTTTGTTACTATTTCTACCAATTTTCTGTCTCTGATGGATTTCTTAAAAACATTCTATATAGGTATATAAGGCCACAGTTCTTGGATAATAACCCGTTGCTTTCGTTTATCCAATTCGTTATTGGTCCTTACGCGGATGATCTCGGCAATGTCTTGCCTAACGCTGTTGAAGGAGTTGGAGTTCCTGTTGATCCGCTCGCTTTTGCTGGTCTTTTAGGTAAATTTCATAACTTTCGCTAGTTTCTTTTGTTCGTTTCTCATGTTTACTGGTCTAAACCGTAGTTTACTCTTTTCAGGTATGGTAGTTACTTCATTGAACTTGTTACCATGTGGAAGACTCGAAGGAGGTCGAATCGCTCAAGCCATGTTCGGAAGAAGCACAGCTGCAATTCTCTCATTTGCCACATCACTCCTTCTCGGTATTGGAGGTCTCAGCGGAAGCGTCCTGTGCTTGGCTTGGGGGCTTTTCGCAACCTTCTTCCGCGGTGGTGAAGAAACACCCGCAAAAGACGAAATCACCCCTCTCGGCGACGATAGGTTCGCTTGGGGTTTAGTCCTTGGACTCATTTGCTTCCTTACTCTCTTCCCCAACAGTGGAGGTACTTTCTCCACTTCCTTCTTCAATGGACCTTTCTTCCGTGGCAGTGATTTCTAAAGATTTAGATCCAGATGCAGAAACAAGCATTGAAGAAAAGCTTCTTATTTATTGATAATGTTACACAAACATTGTAAATCCGTGGATATTTGTTTGTTGTATCTATGCTCTTTTGAACATAACTTTCAATGGAACATCACTTAAAACAAGACTTCTCTTTCCGCCTTGCACGGACACTCCAATGTCTCTACACATGACTTTGCAGAAATTGCAGACAGATGGACAAAACACGATCTTGTAATCATCTTCAAATTTGTCGATCCTGAACCAGTTACTAACCGTTTTCTGACCCGGATTCCCTGCAACGCCACAAGTCGAAACGAACCATTGATTCGACGTCTCGTCATTGTCTAGTTTCCAGATCGAAGTTGCAGAGAATATGAAGTTGAGATCACTCGAGACACGGATGATTTTTGATTTGTCTGATGGTGAGAATTTTAATGGTAGGCCATTAGAGACTTCGTATCGGTCTTGGATTACGGTGTTGGGACAGGTTTTGTTGTAGGATTTGGATATGGTTAGTCCGCCGCCTCTGCCGCGAACTACTGGCAAGATGTAGTAGTTGATGCCTGATCGGAGACGTTGACCGTTGATGTCTGTAACTGATTCTTCGGCGGCTTCGGTGGTGGTTCCATGGTGGCTGATGAAGACGGCGATGAAGAGGAGGAAGAGATAGAATGGTGAAGACATTTTTGGTAGCTTTCTTCTTTTTATGGAAACTTTTTAGTGTGAATTGAAAAGAAAGAAGAGGAGAGTTCCTATATATGGTTTAAAAAATAAAAGTCAAAGTCAAACCATACATTATGGTTTTGGTCAAATGCTCGCTGTATTAGTTTGTGGTCGAGCATATAAATAATTTCGTTGACAGATATTTGTTGATTTCGTCACAATTCGATCACCTCTGACGAAATCTTTCTTCTTGGATAGTATCAAAATTTAAATTAGATAACTTTCTCTATTCACCGACAACAATTAAAGTCTTATGCATTATGTTATTTTAATTACAAACTTTTTTATTTTGCATAAATTTCTTACATATACATCTCGCGGCTAAACTTCATTCGACTGCCGGTCCGATTTGAAACAATGTCTTAGAAGCTCTCTTTGACCAAGTCAAAGTCTCAGAAGCTCCTCTATTAATCAGATTTTCGTTTTTGTTTATTTTTAAACAAAAAAACTAGCAAATTACGGTAAAACCAGGTATATAAAACGAAATTACAGACCCAATCTAGTAAAACGACCCAGCTCACATACATCTGGATCCAATCCAGGTAAAAATCATATTAAATTAAAAAAAGGAAAATCCGCCCCAAATTGACAGACGAAACCCTACCAAAACCAATCTCTCTACTAGAATCTCCTTGGTCTCATTCTCCTTCGTGTTTTTGAAGTCATTAGAACAAGAAGGATAACTAGGAAAACTAAGAGCGAATCTATATATTGTTGCGATGGCGAAGACAAGGTTTGGAAATCCGAGGGCCAAGACGAATTCGAAGGCCAAGAACAATGTTTCTCCATCAAATCCGAAGGCGAAGAAGACATCGAAGAAAGATGGTTCTCCAGCGAATCCGGAGGCGAAGAAGACATCGAAGAAAGATGGTTCTCCAACGAATCCGGAGGCCAAGACGACATTGAAGAGCGATCAGAATGCCATTCTCATTGGGCTCCCATGTTACCGGACGATTCGTAGGTGGAAATGTCTCTTGTATACATTGTTCATCATCTGACGATGAGGAGTTGCTGTTGTTGGAGCCAGTATCCTATTCAGCAAAAATGTCGGAATGTCTCCTACCAAACATGTTTACTTCCTAATAGTTGGCAAAATGAGAAACAATTGATAAAACCTAAATCCCGAAATCAGTAAATCCCCAAATTGATAAGCCCTAAATCGAAAGCCCATAAATCCCCAAATTGATAAACCCTAAATCGAAAGCCCCTAAATCACTAAATCTGAAACCCAAAAATCAGAAATCGAGTTTAAAGAAAAATATATAGCTAACCTTTGATTTGACCAGTTTCTTCTTTTCCAAACGAACCAAGAACGTCGCC